AGCCTGTGTATGGGAACTACAGTTTGGTTGGCAGGTCCTGCAAAAGTCATGATGAAATTAGACTTGGTAGTTTAACACAGATGTGGTTACGTTATTTTGACCTAAGGAGTGGGTTTAATCCTGAGAAAACTGTTTAGTAGGGAAAGCTGCCTTTTCAGTTCAGTTTATTGAGGGTACTAAGCATTAATTTTAGTGAAATCGGAAGTGGCTTGACATCGAAGAAATTTAATATGTTATTAGATATGGCAGAACCTAACTTTGTATTAATATGCATTACGCTATGGGAGAACCCCATAATAAGTAAGAAAAGCCTAAAATATAACACTGCCAGAGCCGAAAAAGTGGCCTGAAGGTGATAAAATGCAAGTGAAACATGCTTTTAAGCAATTCCGAAACGTTCCGTCGGCATTGAGAAGTGCTAAGTTTATTACAACTAGATACAGATATGGCGAGATACTTTTTTTCAAATTGGCGGAGTCTCTTCAGATAAATACACCTTCAATTTACATGCGCACCAACTTTACGTTAGTTTATTTTATTTGGTTTAAGTAAATTATTTATATTTAAGTTCAGTTGTCAGTTTAGTTTTCAGTTAATTATTATGTCAAGTATCTTTTAGTTTTAGATTATTTTTATTTAATCTATTCACTTTCTGAAACAAGGAACAATTTCATTTTTAAGAATTATTTTTTGCCATAAAATGCAGAAAAAAAGGTTTTGACCGCATTTTGTATTACCGTATCAACTATTTGGGACAGTAACCAAAACTGCCTATCTATTATCACGAAGGTAAAGGTAAAGATAAATCTTATTAAATCGAATACATGTAGAAATATGCTTTTTGTACATTATAATGTCCGCTTATGCGTAATTTAGAAACGCAACAAACAGAAGATTACGACTAATATCAAAATCTTTGCATATATTCGACCACTAGTTTTTGCATTTGCAAGCTTAGAGCGGAGCCTGAAAGCAGTAAACCATGGTAAAAATGCTCCAATGAAGAGAAAAAACGAGTTCTTACATCTTCAGCTAAACTGCATTAATTATTTTCAGGTAAATTT